GAGTAAGCTGCGCTTGAATTTTCCATTCTGTTTCCACATCAGCGGTCATCCCTGGGGCCTAGTCAAACTGTGGTGTTATTTTATTTGCAAGTTGTACCTTCCTTTTTACTTTTTCCGCACATGACAGGGTTTCCTATTTGATTCTCTGGTTGTTTCTGTCACCAGGTCATGTTACTCCATCTCTTACTGCGTAGCGTGTCAGCAAGAAAGCGTTGATCAGTTGACAACTCTGCGCTTCTCTTAACTTGAACTTCCATTACAGACTGTCGTAAGTCAGATGACACAATTATAAAATCGATCATCGACTTCTTCCCTGTACCAGGTATAGTGATGCATGCTTCGATGCTCGTAGAAAGTGTAATAAATAGTCCTTTGTTTGCACAGAACTGCAATAACTTCCTGCCGTTATTGTTGAGGTTGCTAGGGCCGTTCTTCACAATCATTCCTTTCCATTTTTCAGCATCTGCTTCGGCATGTACATTGAAATCGTCCATTAGAATTAGAGACTCCGTAGTCGGCACTGCGTACAAAGCACACTCCACTTCCTCAGTGAAGGACTCATATTCTCCCTCAAAATTGGGCGTTTGATCTATAACAAGGTGCTTTCGCTTGTTGTAACTTCAGTCAGAAGATTGCCACTGTTTCGCTTACGGGCTTCAATTGAATAATTTTATCAGCCACGTTGGGTTCTACCAGTACACCATTACCGGCTTAAGCGAGCTTGGTGATGTCGACACCTGAGTAAAATAACTTCCACCCGCAGCGGTTCAGGATTATTTAGCCTTGGCGCTTCGTTGTCGATAGTCCAACATCGTCCAGTCGGTGCCTTGCAATCTCCTGTACTATTTTCGCTAGTTTTTCTCTGAATGAGGAGATGTGCAGATTTTTGATTGTGAACTCCCTCTACCGGTGTCGTTCGCATGAATCCTTATCTAACTTGCTGTAATGACATGGTACAGTTTTTCTTCTCCGTTCAAGACGGTAAAGGGCTTCGTTGACTGACATCTTCATCATATTCATATAGATCTTTGATAGCCGTCGCCGGTTGCTATGCCCCCAGGTGTCAGACGGAATGAAGCAGTTTCTGATTGCTGAATGTTGGCTTCAGTTCCCTAGCAGCCTAAGTTGCCGATGGTAATCGGGGTGGCGAATGACCTGGCCGGTATAACGTTCGACAGCGGCAATTCCATGAGGGACATATGACTGAGTTGTACGAGGGACATCGCCACTGTTGCCAGTCCTTCTCGTTATCAGGGCTAGGGACCGGAAACGGTGGAGTTATATATGGAAGTTGTAGAGTTGAATGTTTGTGTTTTCCCAATCTCGCAGACGCTGCATTACCATGCATCCCGTGAACAAAGCGAAGAAATATGGCTGGGTTGTTCAAGTTTTAGCGGTTGCGTTATACCTGATAAAGCATATTTCATTTGTAGGGCGGTTCAGCTCGACAAATACGCTACCAAGGCGGTATTAGCAGCTTTGAAAACATTTCATAGAATGGCTTTGAAAGTATGATCATTTCTGGATTTTTTTATGGTCTCTGGTCGGTTACTTGCTTGGGGTCGATTTGAACGTATGATTCGTAACAACAGAAGGTGGCGTCTACATTATTTTTGGTTGGTATTTTCTTCTCGAGATGAGACAGGGCACCGTGATGCAGAGGAAAAATCGCTGGAAAAGTGGGTGTCTGCATCCGATCTCACTGAGTAAAAATATGAACGGATCAGACCTCAAATAGTGGGGTCACTTGGAACCCAGCTCGGTCAGAATGCAAACGGGCGTTCTGCTTAAGACGCCTGCCAGACGTATTCAATGGCCAAAACGATTTCCCGAGATTGAATGAAACTTCCATCAGAAACAAGAAAGGGACATGAGGTAGGTCATGTCGATGACTGATTGACGTCAACAGTAGCGAACTGATAACCAGGTAGCTGCAAGTGCCCAGTAGGATGGCCTTTGCTCAAATTTGCGATGTGCTGAAAGTGAGATATGGAAACTGCTGGCGTTAGATCGCACGGGACAGAAGAACGTGGGCATCGAGACTAGGCAGTGTTCATCCCCATTAATTACGAAGAAGGATCAGTCAGTTGTTGTGTTGTTGCTGCATTTGCTTTCAAAATGACGTCGATGAAGATGTTAGCAGTTTTTCTCGTAATGATCAGATCATCTTAAACACATACTCACTCGTTAATATCGTGGTTGTCGACGATTGATAGTTGGCGATCATCACTGTAGCTGTTAATTATTTTAGGTACGCCACAATACAAAGAGAACGTGATGAAGCATCGTGAGTTTATTCTGCATGGCTTGACTGAAAGTGCCCGAAAATTCATCAGTTCGTTGGAGAAAAATCTGTTCTGCTTTCCGTCAGCCATCGCCTGGCTGATTCAGCAACTGTACGAATTTCTAACCCGCTCGCGGAAAGTTTCGTCCTCTGAAACGATGGTCATCTGCACCGAGCTGGTGTTTACGTATTTCATCTGCCCCGCGATCGCCAATCCTGAACCGTTCGGCATCGTCGGCGATCTGCCGATCAGCTACGTGGCACGGTTCAATCTGATGCAGGTCGGCCAAGTGCTGCAGACACTGGCCGTTTGGCAGTGGGAGCATGTTGATCAGAAACTGATGGATCTGTACACGAATCTGGACCCTGGCTCAGTTTCCGGCATCATGGACACGATACTGTCGCAAGACAGTACGACCCCTGTGTCGCGACTCAGCCTGGACGACATTTTCCCGTTCGACCTCAAGGTCACCCGACATCTTTCGCTTCTGACCGCCGATGAACTAGATAAGCTGGTAATCCTCAACGTCATGCGGTGCTTTTGCATTCACTTTGACTTCGTTGCATGTTGTGTTGTTTCCGTCGTAGATTTCGGTCCTGAAACGGGTGATGACGACCGCATTGCGCGACAACGAAACGAATGAATGGCAAGAAGTCCGAGGTCTGCTATCGAATATGCCCGATAATTGGACCTGTGCGAATGCAACGACCGTTACGAGTACGAGCATGAGTCCTGCCCATGACGCTACGCAAACCACAGCTGCCGCCGCTACCTCGCCAGACTCCACCGTCGCGTCTTCGCACCATAGGGCGCACCTGCGCTGTAAGCATCTATAATAGTACGGGTGAAGGTTTTCGCTCGTTTTCGCAAATTCGGCGGTTTTATTTGTTGGACCTGTTGCAACTTATCGTTTTAACTGATTCGAGGAGTAAAGCGGAAGAGTGAC